GCAGAGAGTTTGCATAAATGGGGAGAAATCAGAATGGGGGCACGTCACAAGCGGTGCTCCTCAGGGGTCAGTGTTGGGCCCATTGTTGTTCACAATTTACATAAACGACATAGATGAGGGAATAAATAGCGACATAAGCAAATTTGCTGATGACACCAATATAGGCTGTGAGGGAAAAGTTCAACAGATAGGAGTAGTGAACGAGTATATGGTAACGATAGTTTGATTGCCGGCGGCTTGTTAAGGTAGGGTCAGTCTAGCTCCCGCTATCCCCTTCATTCCTTTCCCCCCCCCCCCCGAAAGGTGACATGTGGGGCTCCGGACAAACAGTAATCACTCGACTCACAGCTCCCAGCACAACTCTTGGAATGACAGCTCGGGTCACCTGCCAACCAACGAGAAGTGTTGAAGGAGACGGACTGAAAACGGTCTTGGGACGTCACTTCATAATCTACCTACCTGATTAATTATCTTTGTAGTTGTAAAGAACCTGCGTTCCTGTCATCTGGACTGACTATTCAAGGCTATAGACTCTGTGAAGAACTAGTCGTTTGGTTGTCACCAACATCTGTGACCCCCCCCCCCCCACATCATCAGTAACGGCTACAATTTCTACAAGACGGTGTCAACCTCCACCAGACACCCCAGTATAACTGTATATATTAGCATTGAATTTAAATATCATATTTTTATTTAATTTTTAATTTTTCTGTCAAATAGGATACACATTAATTTTTTCAATGTTTTATCTTGCATTACTAAATAATAAAGTGTTTATCTTTGTGAATTATTATTTCTTTTTCTATTCATTAATTTTCCTGAGGAGGAGCCAGCCTTGGTAATACTGTCTGAAGTTGTTACAGGGCTGAGTAAGCCTTCACAGAGGCCATCCAATTCATTCTAATGAGGACACTAGAGCACTCCAGGATGATTTGAATAGACTGATGCAATGGTCGGAGAAGTGGCAGATGCAGTTTAATATTGACAAATGCAAAGTTCTAAATGTTGGACAGGAAAATAACCATGCCACATATAAACTAAATAATGTAGATCTTAACACTACTGATTGCGAAAAGGATTTAGGATTTCTGGTTAGCGGTAATCTAAAACCAAGACAACAGTGCATTAGTGTTCGCAATAAACCTAACAGAACTCTTGGCTTCATATCTAGAAGTATAAATGATAGAAGTCCTCAGGTTGTTCTTCAACTCTATATATCCTTGGTTACCGTATTACAGAATGGATATAAATTCTCTGGAAAACGTACAGAGGAGGATGACAAAGATGATCCCATGTATCAGAAATCTTCCCTATGAGGATAGACTGAGGGCCCTGAATCTGCACTCTCTCGAAAGGCGTAGAATTAGCTGGGATATGATTGAGGTGTATAAATGGAAAACAGGAATAAATAAAGGGGATGTAAATAGCGTGCTGAAAATTTCCAGCCAAGACAGGACTCGCAGCAATGGTTTTAAGTTGGAAAAATTCAGATTCATGAAGGATATAGGAGAGCACTGGTTTGATAATAGAGTTGTGGATGAGTGGAACAAATTCCCGAGTACAGTTATTGAGGCTAAAACGTTGTGTAGTTTTAGAAATAAGTTAGATAAATACATGAGTGGGTGTGGGTGGGTGTGAGTTGAACCTGACTAGCTTGTGCTGCTGGGTCTGCTGCCGTGCTCCTTCCTTGAGTGGAGGTGACCAGATTGGGTGGGTCATTGGGCTAATCCGGGGGGAGGACATGGACCTGCTCCGCATGGGTCAGTAGGCCTGTTGCAGTGTTCCTTCTTTCTTATGTTCTTATGTCATACCATTGATGTTTGGAGGTCTGTAAAGCGAGCCAGCTCTACATATACATTGTGGTTATCTATGCTTCTGTAAACAGAGATATGCTTACTATTTTTTAGCATCAGAGCTACTCTTGTCTCGGCATCCAAAGAAATGCTAGACTGTAATAATTCTGCATCTCTCCACATCATGTAGTTAGGTAAGACACATATGCAACAGTTAGACAACTTTATTCCGAAACGTTTCGCCTACACAGTAGGCTTCTTCAGTCGAATACAGGAACAGTAGAGATGTGAAGACGATGTAATCAGTCCATCACCCTTGTAGTCGTAGAATTTGAGGTTGTCAGTCCCTCGGCCTGGAGAAGTTCAGTTCCATAGTCAGGAACTATCTGAAGATCAAGCGACAGTGCGGAGACTTAAATACTGTCGGAAGGAGAGGTGCAGAGTAGTAGTAGTAGTAGTAGTAGTAGTAGTAGTGAGAATCTGTACCAAGATGCCATGTGTTGCAGTGTCTGACAAGATGAACATCAAAATGGTATACAATACCGACAGGTTGTTAGGTAAGACACATATGCAACATAAAGTTGTCTAACTGTTGCATATGTGTCTTACCTAACAACCTGTCGGTATTGTATACCATTTTGATGTCCACATCATGTAGATGAATGGTTAAGAGAACCGACAAGTTGATAAATTAGACACATATTTAACATTTGGGTATCTTTAATGAGGAAACATTTCGCCACACAGTGACTTCAGCAGTCCATAATAATGAGGATAGTGAAGAACAGGAGGAGTTTGAGGTAATCAGTCCCTCAGCCTTGAGTCGATGTGATCAGTCCATCAATCTTGAAAAGAATACAACATATGTATAATGTTCGCCAAGACCGTAGTCCTGGCACGGGTCTCAGTCTTGTGATGACCCGTCTCTGGTTCCCGAGGGAGAAACGTTTCTACAATGATGCGACATATGTGCGAAGAGGTTGCTTATATACTGTAGGCAGCAGAGGTGCAGCAGTCGTAGGTAGTATCACATTTTTCGAATGTGGAAGTAGGTCATGCCCAAGGGTTAGGCAAGTGAAGAATTCCCTGTATTAAGATCCCAAGAAGTTGCTGTGTCAGACAGGAATGTAGATGAATGGTTCAGAGAACCGACAAGTTGATAAATTAGGCGGCTGCACCTCTCTTGCCTACAGTATATAAGCCACTTCTTCGCACGTATGCTGTATTCTTTTCGACTCAAGACTGAGTTACTATTTACCTCAAACTCCTCCTGTTCTACACGATTCTATTTTGTATAGACTGATTAAGCCACTGTGTGGCGAAACGTTTCCTCATTAAAGATATTCAAATGTTGCACATGTATCTAATTTATCAACGCCACATCCTGCTGAAAAATCCTCCATTATGATCCTTATGAACGCCTTCCTTAAAGAACCTAAGTCAGCTATGCTATTCTGAAGACGGGATACCCAAGAAATCGAAAAAGAAATCAAAATATATCATTATTAGTTTGGTCCTAAGGTCTACAGTACCCAATGATTACACAATAAGATCTATCCTCTTCTTGTGGAAGATGAGGTACGGTCCAGAGACTTAAGACGTAAAACTTTGTAATATTAAAAAAAATATTGGAAGTGGACCAAAGATTAAGCAAGGAGGAAAGGGGAAGGGCAACTTATTGAGGTATTTGTGGAAAAGTTTATTTATGAAGGGAAAAATAAGAACATACTGTAATATAGCTGTGTTGACAGTTTATATCGTATCGACGTAGTGATCTCGTGTCTGAGAGAAGTGTGCGGTATGAATATTATGCAAAGAATTTATAGTGTGGTTGTACCAAAAGTATTATTCAGTGAGGTGAGGAGGGGTTGTTGAGGTGGTGGTAAGGAGGGGCTGAGGTGGGGGTGAGGAAGGATTGTTGAGGTGGTGGTGAGGAGGGGTTGAGGTGGGGGTGAGGAAGTGCTGTTGAGATGGTTGTGAGGATGTTTTTATGAAGTGAGGTGAGGAAAGGGTTGTTGAAGTGGTTCTGGCATTTAGAGAGGAAAAAGCAGACCTGATAAGATTATTAAGAGGATGTATAAATCTCGGGTATAAAGGATGGGTAAAGAGTGTTCCTGGAGGGGTTGGGAGGAGATGGTTAATGGAGGTTTTGAGTGTTGTTAGGTCTGTTTGAGTTGAGAGTTATTTTATATGACCTAATGTGCTGTTACAATCCCTGAAAGGATTCAGGGAAACTGGTTATTCGGACTTAAATCCTGAAGGTGGGAAGTACAGAGCCTTCACTCTTTAAGAGATGTTGTTGCTGTTCAGGGGGTCATATGAAACGTGACATATTCATACGTTTGGTGATACAGCAATTAAATGAATGATGGTGAATGTGTTTCATCTTATTTTGGGCCACCTTAACTTACTGGAAGAAAGCTGGTATGCTATAATGTATGTTTCTGTTCCCTCATCAAGGTCAGTAGATTATGAACGAGTGGTCTAAAACTGATCCTTGGGAAATACGTGGTGATCCCTAGTCTGATTTCACCCAATTTTCGCAAACTTTTTACCTGTATGTTATTTATGCCTCGATCTATGAGAGAATTTTTCCACTGATACGATGTGCTGCCGCTCTCTGTAACTGTCTTTACGTTAATATGGAACACTTTGAAAAACTACACTGTAATCCAAGTAGCCAAAATTGTATGTTTATCATAATCCACCGCCTAAGTTAGTAAATCAAGTCAGTAAATGTGTTAAGTGTAAGTCTCTTGTGTGTTTCAGTTGAGTCTAGTTAATCAAATCATGCTTATCAAGGTGGTTCCTAATCATACCAATTGTTATGGATTCTAATAACTTTAGACTAGTGGAAATAGTTCATGTCTTAGAAATGAGTCAACTCACCTTCTACTGTCTCCAGTTTCAACATTTTCAAGATTGAATAACTAAATATCTCATCTTCCAATTTCTCCTATTAATAACCACTTAGTTAAACTGATAAAGCCACTTTGAGGGAGAAACGTCTTCAGAATAATGATTCCAAGGCAATGCGCACGTGTCTATTTTATCTATTTTTTGATATTGTATGCCATGTAAAAATACCAGTGAAAATAGAAAATAAAACCTGAGCACCTTCATGTGCTAACGGCCAGCTAGGTTATCTCTTGAATTGCTTAAGATAGGAAACTTGAATTAACGAGGTCTTGTTGCGTGCAGGTCCGGTGGTGAACGTCACAGCAGTGATGGAAGGAGAGGCTCTACTGCCTTGCGACGTCTCTACTACACTTGAAGACGATCACCCGGTTCTTGTAATGTTTTACAGCAATTACTCTGGCACTCCCATCTACACGTGAGTACCTGTCATTATATCCTGCATATACAGTTATCTATGAAGACCCAATATTGCAATAGCCTAGATGAAATAGTTCTCAATTAATCTACAATTGTGTAGTTAAAACGTTTATCGACAAATACTTGAGCATGGGCTAGATACGTAGTAAGCTGATATCTACCCTTAAACCACCAACAAGAAGCTGAAACAGGAACAAACTTCAACGCCGGTATTGGAGGATTGTAGACGTGAGTACTCAGGGAGTGAGAAATCTGGCTAGTATTGGAGGATTATAGACACGTGTACTCAGGGACCGAGAGGTCTGGCTTGTATTAGAGGACTGTAGATGTGTGTACCCACAAGTGAGAGGTCTGGCTGGTATTGTAGGATTGTAGACATAAGTGCTTAGGGAGTGAGAGGTCTGTATTGTATTGGAGGATTGTAGTTGTGTGTACTCAAGCAGTGAGAGGTCTGGCTGGTATTGGAGGATTGTAGTCGTGTGTACTCAAGCAGTGAGAGGTCTGGCTGTGGTGGTGTTTTGACCTGGGGATTAGCGTCAGCGTTAGTGGAAATAGACCTGTTTACTCAGTAAGTGAGAGGCCTGGCTATGCCGATATTTTGGCCTATTGTCCATCTGATTTAATTTTGGAATTTCTGGTTCCCGTTTCGGAAGAAAATTTGTTTTATTTTCAATTCCAGTCCAAATTTGTGTAGCACATTTTTTCCAGACTCCCGGAAAGCAGGCCATAATAACCAATAATTACTGTTGTCTTTAACATCCCTAACAGTAAACTGGAACGATTCACAAATAACCAAATGAGAGATATTGTCAATAATTTCGCCCGATTGCGAATCGTTAAGTAAACACACACACACACACACACACACACACACACACACACACACACACCACACACACACACACACACACACACACACACACACACCCTTTCTCTCCCCCCTCACATTTCTCTCTCTCTCCCCCTTGGTCTTATCCCTCACCCCCATACTCTCTCCTCTCATTCCCTCTTTCTACCCTTTCTCTCTCCCCCTCTCACCCTCTCCCTCCTCTAGCCTTCTGTCTGTGGTAATAAAAAAAAAAATGGGTGGCCCTAGAGGACGGAAAACCAGAGATCTGGTAGACGAACCAGGGAGGAAAGACTGGGAGTTAGAGCTCCAAAAAAGGGAGGAAGAGTGGGGAAGGAAGATAGTAGAGCTTGGTAAGAAAATGGAGGAGCGGATAGCTGAAGAGTGCAGGAAGTGGGAAGTACAGGTCTTAGCAGCAGAAGCTAGGATACAGTGCTTAGAAGAGAAACTGCAAAGCCTGAAACAGATTAGAGAGACAAATGACAATTCAGATGTAACATCAGGAAATTCAATGTCAGGCGCAGACAAGGGGACAGTATGCAACAATGGAGACATGCCGTACGTGAAGGCCCTATCAGACCCACGTGGGGCCAGGGAAAAGACGAGGAGCACACTAAGATCAAATGACAGGTCCGAAGACAATGAAGGTATGTTATATGCAGAGATTCTAACAGCCAACTGCAGTAGCAAGGGACAGCTGGTCATGAAAGACAGTTCACTGAGAATAGAAGTTTCAGATATGACAGGGACTGAAGGCAAGAACATGTCAATGGAAGGAAATAAAATGCCTCAGAGGAAGCAGATGGAGACTCAGTGGGAGGAGGAAAGGGCGAGGTCAGTTTTTGCGTACGGGCTCCAAGAAGCCAAGGGGGACAACTTTGAAGAAATAAAACAGGAGGAGAAAAAAATGATTGAAGGCATCATGAAAACTATAGGTGAGGGCGATATGACCCAGGTGACAAATTTTCAGAGAATTGGGTGGTTTGCGAGTGGAAGGATACGGCCTGTCAGAGTAACTTTCAAGGAAGAATCAGTTCGAACCAGGATTCTGCAAGAGAAAGCAAGACTGAGGGACAAACAGGGGTACCAGAGAGTATACCTCGACCGCGACAGAACACAAGAAGAAAGGACTACACTGAAAGAGAGGGTACAGAGACGCAAGGAGGAACGAGAGGCAATGATGAAGATGAGCAGGACCCAGACACAGGAGGAAGGGCAAACACACCCCACAGAATCTCCCACCAAAAGACTCCAACCGCGACATTCCCAACGCAACTGAGCAACCTATACTACAACCCACTCACTGTTTCCCTCTGCCACCACCCCCATATCACAAACCTCACCCCAACAGCTGTCCCTTATGGGCATTCTGACCCCACCCCCATCATCACAAACCCTACCTACACCACAGCCCCATATAGGCCCCCACCAAGGCTCTCGCTCCCCCAACCCCAATATTCTTGCATTACCACAATGATAGAAAAGAAACTGAAAGTTTGGTACACAAACGCGGATGGAATAACGAATAAACGTGAGGAGTGGACCGAAAGAATCAGTGAAAAATCCCCAGACATCATGGCAGTCACAGAAACAAAACTCGCTGAGACAATAACAGACACAATCTTCCCAACGGGATATCAGATCCTGAGGAAAGATAGAAGGAGTAGAGGGGAAGGAGGGGTTGCACTGCTCATAAAACACCGATGGGGATTTAAGGAAATGGAAGGCATGGACATAATTGGAGAAAGAGACTACATTGTAGGTACAATTCAGTCCGGAGAACATAAAGTAGTCATTGGAGTGATGTATAACCCACCACAGAACTGCAGGAGGCCAAGAGAGGAGTACAAAGAAAACAACAGGGTGTTGGTGGACACACTGGCTGAGGTGGCAAGAAGAGCTCATTCGAGCAGAGCAAAGTTACTGGTAATGGACGATTTCAACCACAGGGAGATCAAGTGGGAAAACCTGGAGCCACATGGGGGTCCCGAAACATGGAGAGCCAAGATGATGGATGTGGTACTTGAAATCCTCATGCATGAACATGTCAGGGACACAACCAGAGAGAGAGGGGAGGATGAGCCAGCAAGACTGGATCTTGTGTTCACCCTGAGCAGTGTTACAAGTGGAGAAGGTAACAGGAACTGAAGGGGACAGGCCAAACTATAAAAGGGGGGACTACACAGGTATGAGAAACTTCCTGCAGGAGGTTCAGTGGGACAGAGAAATGGTAGGAAAATCAGTAAACGAGATGATGGAATATGTGGCAACAAAGTGCAAGGAGGAAGAGGAAAGGTTTGTTCCCAAGGGAAACAGAAATAATAGGAAGACCAAAACGAGTCCTTGGTTTACCTGAAGGTGTAGGGAGGCAAAAACTAAGTGCAACAGAGAATGGAAAAGGTACAGGAGGCATAGGGCCCAGGAAAACAAGGAGATTAGTAGAAGAGCCAGAAACGAGTATGCACAGATAAGGAGGGAGGCCCAGCGACAGTATGAAAACGACATAGCATCGAAAGTCAAATCTGACCCGAAACTACTGTATAGCCACATTAGGAGGAAGACAACAGTCAAGGACCAGGTGATAAGGCTGAGGAAAGAAGGTGGAGAACTCACAAGAAACGATCAAGAGGTATGTGAGGAGCTCAGCACGAGATTTAAGGAAGTATTTACAGTAGAGACAGGAAGGACTCTGGTGGGACAGATCAGATGGGGACACCAGCAAGGAATACACCAACAGGTGTTGGACGACATACATACAGATGAGGAGGAGGTGAAGAAACTGCTAAGGGACATCGATACCTCAAAGGCAATGGGACCGGACAACATCTCCCTGTGGGTCCTTAGAGAGGGAGCAGATATATTGTGCATGCCACTTACGACAATCTTCAACACGTCCCTGGAAACTGGGCAACTACCTGAGGCATGGAAGACGGCAAATGTAGTTCCCATTTTTAAAAAAAGGAGACAGAAAAGAGGCACTAAACTATAGACCTGTGTCATTGACGTGTATAGTATGCAAAGTTATGGAGAAGATTATCAGGAGGAGAGTGGTGGAGCACCTGAAACGGAACAAGAGTATAAATGCCAACCAGCACGGATTCATGGAAGGCAAATCCTGTGTCACAAACCTTCTGGAGTTTTATGATAAAATAACAGAAGTAAGACACGAGAGAGAGGGGTGGGTTGATTGCATCTTCTTGGACTGCAAGAAGGCCTTTGACACAGTTCCTCACAAGAGATTAGTGCAGAAGCTAGAGCATCAGGGGCATATAACAGGAAGGGCACTGCAATGGATCAGAGAATACCTGACAGGGAGGCAACAACGAGTCATGGTACGTAATGATGTATCACAGTGGGCACCTGTGACGAGTGGGGTCCCACAGGGGTCGGTCCTAGGACCAGTGCTATTTTTGGTATATGTGAACGACATGATGGAAGGGTTAGACTCAGAAGTGTCCCTGTTTGCAGATGATGTGAAGTTAATGAGGAGAATTAAATCTGATGAGGACCAGGCAGGACTTCAAAGAGACCTGGACAGACTGGACACCTGGTCCAGCAAATGGCTTCTCGAATTTAATCCTGCCAAATGCAAAGTCATGAAGATAGGGGAAGGGCACAGAAGACCACAGACAGAGTATAGGCTAGGTGGCCAAAGACTGCAAACCTCACTCAAGGAGAAAGATCTTAGGGGTGAGTATAACACCGAGCACGTCTCCGGAAGCACACATCAATCAGATAACTGCTGCAGCATATGGGCGCCTGGCAAACCTGAGAACAGCATTCCGATACCTTAGTAAGGAATCGTTCAAGACACTGTACACCGTGTATGTCAGGCCCATACTGGAGTATGCAGCACCTGTTTGGAACCCGCACTTGATAAAGCACGTCAAGAAACTGGAGAAAGTACAAAGGTTTGCGACTAGGTTAGTTCCAGAGCTAAGGGGAATGTCCTATGAAGAAAGATTAAGGGAAATCGGTCTGACGACATTGGAGGACAGGAGGGTCAGGGGAGACATGATAACGACATATAAAATACTGCGTGGAATAGACAAGGTGGACAAAGACAGGATGTTCTAGAGAGGGGACTCAGAAACAAGAGGCCACAATTGGAAGTTGAAGGCACAAATGAGTCAGAGAGATATTAGGAAGTA